TGAATTCACCATCTGGTCCTGGGTTTTTCTTTGTTCAGAGGATTTTGATTACTGATTCAATCTCCTTAATATTTATACGTCCATTCAGATTTTTTATTTCTTCATGATTCAGTCTTGGTAGATTGCATTTTTCTAGGAATTTATTCATTTTTTCTAGGTTTTACAATTTTTTTGGTGTATAATTGTTCATAGCAGTTTCTTATGATTGTTTTTATTTCTGAAGCATCTGGAGCATTGTTCACAGCAGTCTCTTATGATTGTTTTTATTTCTGGAGTTAACATCTCCTTTTTCATTTATGATTTTACTTATTTGAGTCTCCTCTCTTCTTTTCTTAGTCTAGCTCAATGTCAATTTTGTTGATCTTTTCAGAAACCCAATCTTAGTTTGACTCTTAGTTGATTTCTTAAAATTCTGTATTTGATTTATTTCTGTTCCCATCTTTATTATTTCTTTCTTTCTGCTAACTTTGGGTTGAGTTTGTTCTTTATTTCTACTTCCTTGAGATGTAGAATTAAGTTGCTTATTTGAGATCTTTCTTTTTTAATGTAGGCTCTTATCACTGTAAACCTCTTTTTAAGTACTACTTTTGCTGCATTCTGTAAGCTTCGGGATGTTGTGTTTTCATTTTTGTTTGTCTCAAGATATTTCCTAATATCTCTCTGATTTCTTCTTTGACTTAGTGGTTGTTCAAGAGTTTATTGTTTAATTTCCACATACTTATTTATTTTCCAATTTTCTTTCTGCTGTTGATACCGAGTTTTATTCTATTGTGGTGGGAAAAGACAACTGGTATGATTTCAGTCTTCTTAAGTGAATTCAGACTTGATTTCTGACCTAACCTGCAATCCATCCTAGAGATTGTTCGATATGCACCTGAGAAGAATGTAAATGCTTTTGCTGTCGAGTGGAATTTCTATATATAGCTGTGAGATCCATTTGGTCTGTAGTGTTGTTCCAGTCTTCTTTTTTCGTGCTGATCTTCTGTTGGAGTTTTCTATCCATTGTTGAAAACAAAGTATTAAAATTTCCTACTATTTATTATTCTATTGCTGTCTATTTCTTCCTTAATTCTGTCCATTTTTGGTACATAAATTTAGGTGCTCTGCTGCTGCTGCTGCTGTGTGTGTGTGTGTGTGTTAAATTAATCTTTTGTCATTATATAATGGCCTTCTTTGTCTCCTGCTACAGATTGTTATTAAGTCTACTTTGTCTAATATAAGTAAGGCTACCCATGCTCTCTTGTTTACCATTTGCATGGAATATCTCTTTCCTTCCTTTAACTGTCAGCCTATGTGTATCTTTAAATCTAGTCTTTTGTAGACATATACTTGGATCTTGTTTTTTTTTATCCAATCAGCTATTGTGTCTTGTGACTGAGAGTCTGACTGTTTTGTATTTAAAGTAATTATTAATAGGAAAGGATTTACTGTTGCCATTTTGTTGTTTTTGTATGTCTTATAGCTCTTTTGTACATCTTTTCTTTTCTTGCTGTCTTCCTTTGTGCATATTTATGTTTTTTGTAGTGACATGCTTTGATTCCCTTCTCATTTTCTTTTTGGTATCTTCTGTAGGTGTTTGTGGCTAATATGGGGCCTACATAAAATAACTTATAGGCTTAACAATCTATTTTAATTGCATGCAAAATCTGATAACTTTAATCATATACAAAATCTCTATACTTTGCTAGTGATATATAGATAACATATTTTAATATTCTTATCCATTAATACATTTTATAATTTTAGTTATTTTTATACTTTTGTCTTTTAACTTTTATGCCACAAATAAAAATAATTTATGTACCCCCATTACAGCATTCAACGTTGTGTATTTTTCTGTATATTTACCTTGAGCAGTGAATTTTTACTTTCAAATACTTTTGTGTTGCTGTTCAACATCTTTTCATTTCAATTCAAAGGACTCCCCTCTACTATGTCTTGTAAGATAAGTCTAATGGTGATTAACTCCCTCAGTTTTTGTTAATCACGGGAAAGTCTTTATCTTCTTCATTTTTGAAGGACAATTTTGCTAGATATAGTATTTTTGGTTGACAGTTTGTTTTCAGCACTTCGAATATATCACCCCACTCACTTCAAGCTTACAAGGTTTCTGCTAAGGAATCTGCTAATGGTCTTCCAAGGGTGGCATTGTATATGAGGAGTCATTTTTTTCTTGCTTCAAAACTCTTTTTGTCTTTAACTGTTGACATTTTGATTCTGTGTCTCATTGTGGAGTTCTTTAGTTTCATCCCATTTGGAATATGTTGGACTTCACAAATCTGCACGTCCCTTTGCTTCCTCAGATTTGGGAATTTTCTGACCATTATTTCTTTATGTAAGCTTTCTGCCCCTATTTCTCTCTTCTTTTGAGACTCATTATATGTATATTGGACACTTGATATTGCTGTTTGACTCCTTTAGATTTTCTTTACTCTGTTTCATTTTCTTTTTGCTCCTATAACTGGATAATTTCAAATGACTTATCTTTGGGTTCCCCAATTACTTCTGCTTGATCAAATCCTTTGTTGAACCCCTCTAGTGAGTTTTTCAGTTCAATTATTCCCTTCTTCAGCTCTAAAATTTGTTTGGCCTTTTTCTATATTTTCTGTCTCTTCATTTTGTTCATGCATTACTTTCCTGATAGTATTGAGCATCTTCATGACAGTTATTTCGAATAAATTGTTCAATAATTCCTATACTTCCATTTCTTTATAGCGTATTTCTAGAGAGATTTCTTTTGTTCCTTTAATTGCGTAATTTTTTCCTGTTTCTTCATGGTCTTTGTAACTTTGTGTTGATATCCTCACATATTTGAAAAAAACAGCCGCCTCTCTTGGTCTTTATAGACTAGTTTCATGCAGGGAAAGATCTTCACCACTCAAACCAACTAGAGATCCTGGGAACACCTCAGATCTCTTTTGTGAGTAGATATAGATATAGATATATAGATATAGATATATGTGAAGATTACTGTGTGTGAAGATTACTAATTAGAGGGGTTTGCTAGTTTCTAATTGTTCAGAAATTCCTAACTTCTTGCTGTCTTTGCTGTCTTCTGTACCCTGGCACTCTGAAGCAGCAGTACACCAACCAGATCTTTTTTTTTTTCCTCAGCAGCCTTTAGGCATCAAGATTTCACCAAGTTCTGTCAGTTCACTAAGATAGGATAGACAGATACCAGAACCCTCAGCAGCCCACTGAAAAGCCAGAAATCTGGACACATGTTCCACCCTTCTTTTTTTCTTTTTTTTAGATTTTATTTATTTATTCATGAGAGACACAAAGAGAGAGAGAGGCAGAGACATAGGTAGAGGGAGAAGTAGGCTCCCCAAGGGGAGCCCGATGTGGGACCCGATCCGGGATGTCAGACCCGGGATCATGCCCTGAGCTGAAGGCAAACACCTAACCGCTGAGCCACCCAGGCGTCCCTCCACCCTTCTTTTTACACACTTAGGGAGAGGCTTCTGAACTATATCAGTTTCTGTCTGCTCCACCAGGGGACCTCTGGAGCACCAGCACCCTGTCCAGTTTGTTCTTACAAACCCTCATGCATCTACCATATGTCAGGTCCCATCAGTACTTCAAGACAAGCAGGACAGAAGCCAGTCCTTCAGGCAGCACACCCTCACATTGCATCCAAGAGTCCAGTTTTTGGATATTTGATCCATTCCTCTCTTTCCTTCCCCAGGGAAAAAAATGGAAGCTGATACTTTCTTTCCAATTGTGTACTGCTGCACTGGTGTGGAGGGGAGACTGGGGAGAGCATGCCACAAAATTTCCTACTAACTACAAAACAGCTGATTTTGTGCTCATGTGGAAGGCACAAGTCTCTTAACTGGTTTCTCAATTTCTCACAATGGGAATTGGTCCTTGTATTGTGGTTCCTTGGGAGTAAAAAGGTTCTGGGTCTCCTATTCCACCAGAACACCTGGGTATTCTGTTTTATACATTTTTAAAATTCATTGCATCATGCATCATTGCCTGGTAATAAGATATTTTAAAACAACAATAATAATAATAATGATTATATTAATATTGATGAATCCTTATAGAGCACAGCCCACATGTCAGGTACTGATCTAATGACTTTGTAGGGGTTTCTAGGTTCATTTAACAGATATGAAAATTGAGGTACAAAACAGTAAATTGTCTAAAGTTATGCACCTACATGGAGCTGGGGTTCCAATCTAGGCCATCCATAACCATAGTCCACTTTCTCAAACCCTCTGAGATGATACTCAGTACATTTGCTGAATCACTGAGTCCCGACCTGAATCTCCCATCTTCTTTTTTATGAGTCATTGCTGGATCTTTTCTAGGAAACTGTTCTTTACCTTCTACTTGCACCTCCTCAGAAAGTTGGGTTTAAAACCCTTCATGTACAACCTTCCATGCAGTGTGCTCCTCCCCTGTTTTATTCTGCCAAGGAGTTCCTCAGCTTCTCTCACTGTCTTCATCTCAAATGTAATCAACCTTGACTGAAAATGGTCACTTGAATCCTAAATGCCACTCAGTTCACTTCTAATCATAGCAAGTCATCTTGAGGCTCAAGAATCTTTAATGAACCTGCAAAGTACTTTCATCTCACTTCACAAGCGGAAAGATAAAGGAGAGTGAGCAATCACATTGGAATCATCATAAAAACAAAGGCTTCATGATAGCCGTTCTAGCCATGCATTTTGGATATGAATTTATTTACAAATGATTGCATTTTAATTTGGGACATTGAGTTCTTCAAATTTTTATATGGACAACATTTTATTCTTTGTGCACTAAAAATGTAAGACATAATTTAAAAATGTTTAAGATTCCATTTTGTCACCCTGGGAAGAATGACACTGTTCAGTAATTTTTAAAAGACCTCCTCAGTATTATAAAGCAACAAGCAAGAGGTTCACAGCTGCATGGCAGCATTAATGTTTAACTGTAGTCCAATGCATCAAGTTCTCACAAGCAGTAATGATAAAATTTAAAGGTTAATATTTATATTTTTGTTCTAGAGATCCTGAGCCGTTCACCGCATACTTTCTACCTGGCAGTGATCCTGAGTTTTTTGTAAAACCTCAGGTTGGAGAACTTCCTCCTTTTGATACTGAAGAAACTGTCATCATGGTGGGTTTTAAGCCCCAAATGTACGGTAGGAAATACAAAGCAACATTAGTAATACAGGTGAGTTCTCTGAAGGTAATAGTCGGGCAGCCCGGGTGGCTCAGCGGTTTAGTGCTGCCTTCGGTCCAGGACCTGATCCTGGAGTCCCGGGATCAAGTCCCACATCAGGCTCCCTGCATAGAACCTGCCCCTCCCTCTGCCTGGGTCTCTGCCTCTCTCTCTGTGTGTCTCTCATGAATAAATAAATAAAATCTTTAAAAAATAATAAAAAAATAAAGCTGATAGTCAAGGATGTTTGATGTCCCTGAAGGCATTAAAGGAGAAAATGTTTCACCCAGGTAAAGAAATAGCAACATTACCTTTCAAAAGCCAACCTATTTCAACTACTCTATCTAGTTTTAATTTCCTTTTGCCCTGTAAAGAACTGGTAAGTATGGAATATAACAAAAAAGTTATCACCAGTGGGACGTAAGAAATTCTTTCCCAGGGCACCTGGGTGCCTCAGTCGGTTAAGCATCTACCTTCAGCTCAGGTCATGATCCCAGGGTCCTGGGTTCAAGCCCCTTGTCATCAGACTCCTTGCTCAATGGAGAGCCTTATTCTCCCTCTCCCTCTGCCTGCTGCTCCCCCTGCTTGTGCTCTCTGTCAAATAAATAAATAAAATCTTTTAAAAAAGAATTCTTCCCCTTCCATATTAAGAAAATGTAGAAGAGATAAATATTGACTGTAAAGTGATTTGTATATTCACATATTGTTATCTGTAATATCTTGTTTAAGCTGTTGATTTTAAGCATTAATTCTATTAATACTTATATATGAAACATATGACTTTCATTGTAATAATCTATTCAAGGACTTCAGGTGATTTGAGAGAGATATTTTGGAATCTTTAATTAAGGCATAAAGTATTGCCAAAATGTTAAGGTCTAAAATGAAGGAAATTAAATAGAAGATAAAACTTATTTTGAATTGAGAAAGACACAATGTGAAGTGGGCCATTAATATGAAAGTCTGCTTGAGTGATCATCTTATTTTAAAAGTTAAGGTAAACATAGTTTTGAAAATTTATGCAGTACGCAAAATTTCTCCATCAGATTTCACACATGTATTTTACTAATAGCTTTTAGGCTAAAGACAACTTTGAAATTATTTATGAAAATATCCTGAATGCCAGTGCCTATTTTCAGTAGCACAGGCACAAAGGATGTGTATTTATGTTTCAAGACACAACTACTGGTGCCAAAGTGATTACTAGACTTCTAAATCAGACACTAATTAGGCAGTGCCATGGGCAGAAGAATGTGTTGTTACTGTTTTAATGAATAGAGAAAAGAATAATGTTGAATATTTCTCAAGAAAATTATTTATATTTTTCATCTTTCTGGGAATTCTTACACCTCAGGTAATAAAAATATAAAGCCTCTGGAGCCTTGCTACACATCGCCCTTTGCTATATTGATGCTTAATTTAAAATGATCATGTTGTACCTGCCTCTTAAGAAGCGAGGACATACTCTTACTCTAAGGAGATTAAATGACATATTTAAAAACAGATTTGCAAGTGAAAATGATGTTTATTTTACCTACTGCACAGTGAACATTTCTGAAATGAACTATGTTGGAGGTTTTCCCAACAAAATCTGTGCCCAGTTTCCCTATGTTGATTTGACAATTAAATCACTGGCAGCACAATTGAAAGGTTTCTGTGAGAGAATAAGTTGACATATGGGATCAAATGGAAATGTGAAATTTTCATTTAGTCTGAAGTGGTACAGTTTGATAAAGCTTATGTAGGGAAAATTGAGGTGGAAATGTGTTTAAGAAATCACTATTTTGTTGATTCTATTATTATTTGGAAAATTCCAAATGTTAGTAGAAATAGAATAATTAATCTACATATACTTATCATCCAATATGAACACTTATTTGAGCCAATTCAAATACATTCTCATCCCCTTCCCCGTATTCCATATTATTTTGAAGAAAATCCCAGACATCCTATTCTCTTCAACTATTTCCCATTCTCTAAAAAACCAAATCATAACCATGATACCCTTATCACATCTAAAAATTAACAATAATTCCTTAGTATCATGACATATCAAATACCATTTAGTGTTCAAATTTTCTATGGACTCATAAATCTCATATTTTTTAACTTGAAGTAAGGACTCACAAGGAGTCACAAAAATAGTACATAGAGTCCTGTGAATCCTCCCAGCTTCTCCCAATGGTGAGATTTTACAGAGTTGTAATAATATATCAGAAGAAGGAAATTGACATTGACAAAATACTGTGAACTAAGCTAGAGACCTATTTCATTTTCAGCATTTTTCACGTGTGTGTGTGTGTGTAGTTCTAGGCAATTTGAACCCATGCAGAGATCTGTATAACTACAGTAACAACTGAGATACAGAACTGTTCCAACACAACTGTGGGAACCAGTAACAGTATGGAAACCGTGTCCTGCTAACTCTTTATGGTAACATCCAAAAGGGTAACTCCTTCTTTACCCCGGCAACCACTAATCTTTTCTCCATCTCTATGATTTTCTAATTTCTAGAATATTACATAAATGAAATAATACTCTATGTAACTTTTTAAGATTGGCTTTTTATGCTGAGTATAATGCCCTTGAGATTCATAAAAGTTATTGCATACATCAAATCAATGATTTTTAAATCATGGTTCAAACACTGTCTGATTCTAAAATCTTGCTCTAAAAAAATAAATAAATAAGTAAAACCTTGCTCTTAATGACAATACCATGATGTCCCACATGATAATATGTGAAGAATTTTAAAGGTTATTTCATTATCTAAATAAAAATTACTGTTCACTGTATTATCTTTTTTTAAACTGTTGATTTTAAGCATTAATTCAATTAATACTTATATATGAAACATATGACTTTCATTGTGCTTTACTTAGAAATAAAAATGAGGATGTTTAAGAACAGTTTAGTTAAATATTAGCCTGTAGAAACTTCAACTTCCTTAGCAAACATCATAGAAAGTTCCCTTTCAATGAAACCATATTTAGAATGATTAAAAACTGCCTTTTCCCTATTATTAAACAAGGCATATAGCACTAGCTTAGAGAGACTTATGTTAACTTGATCGATACAAAAAACAATGTTACACAAAGAGGATAAATAGTCCACTCAGCTTTCCATGGTAGACATGAGAAATCTTAGTTTATACAAAAATATGAAAGCTATTAGAATTATCCAAGATAAAACATATAATGCTTGTACAAAAGTAATATCATTGGACCTGTTATAACTAGAGATATAACGAGACATAAGTAATAGGTATGTAAATGCATTGCTTTTGAAGGAATAAATCATTGTTGTGAAACTGTAAGAAATAGCATTTCATTTATATATATAAATCTTGGTTTGTATTTTCTCTTAAGCAAACTTGAAATACGAATTCAAATCCAAGTAGCATATTTCCTATGTGATCTCAAGAAACATGCAGGGAAGCCAGGATATGAGACAGAAAAGGAATGGAAACCAATAAAAGGTGCTTTATCAAAGCAGCTACCACAGTGGGCAATTGGAATTTAATCCCATGGGATTTCTATGGAAAATAGCATGGAACACACACTGTAGAATATTTACATCTGATAGGACTAGAGAGTTGGGGGGTTGTTTGTTTTTGTTTTGTTTTGTTTTCTGAAAAACTCTTGAGTCGAGAGGTATGGATATTGGCAATTGGAAGTTGGATCAGGCAATGAAATGGAAGTACCTGAGGGATGTGGGTGGGCACAGGCCACATCTACTAATGTGCTGTTTCCATTCCTAAGAATGTGTCCTTTTTTTTTGTATTTTTTTATTGGAGTTCGATTTGCCAACATATAGCATAACACCCAGTGCTCATCCCGTCAAGTGCCCCCCTCAGTGACTGTCACCCAGTCACCCCATCCCCCTGCCCACCTCCCTTTCCACTACCCCTTGTCTCTCATGAATAAATAAAATCTTTAAAAAAATAAAAATAAATGATTTTATTTATTCATTCATGAGAGAGAGGCAGAGACACAGGCAGAGAGAGAAGCAGGCTCCATGCAGGGAGCTGGATGTGGGACTCGATCCTGGGTCTCTAAGATCACGTCCTGGGCTGAAGGCGGTGCTAAACCGCTGAGCCACCCGGGCTGCCCAATAAAATCTTAAAAAAAAATCAGCACAGTGATTCTCTGAGGCACTAGTGACTTGGAGATACTGATTTATTCTTATATTATTTTAACTTAAGCTTTTTAATTTATATTTTCAAAAAGAGATTCTGAGTGGAAGGTATAGAGCTATATCTTTAAAGTGTTCTCAAAAACATGAGTCATTGTATTTATTTACAACTTGAAGAAAGTTGACTGTAGATATGATAACTGTAATATTTAATCTTTATAAAATAAACATATTCTTATGACCATATAGAGTGTTGGAATAAAGGACATGAATGACTTCTTCCAAACATATTTTATACTTGGGTTATATATCTTATGTATACATAAATACACACACACACACACACATACCCACTCAGCATCACTTATGGCAAATTTATTTGAATCTTAATTGAAATGCATACAATAATATTTAGGATTTTAAAAATACTGTCTTTATAGATAATTATTTTCAAAGGGTCTTGGAGATGGGTCGGGTGAAGGTACAAATCCATATATGTCATTCCTATCGGTACCCACTACATTTCAGATAGTGTACATCCCTTCATGTACCTCGCTCCTGCACATGAGTGTTGGGCATGGATGCAAGTCCCTTCAAGTACCTCATGCACCTGTAGTCATGAAGTAGGTCACCTGTAATGCAAAAATTTACCATGACATATGCACAATCACCAGAACGTAGCTTGGTTTTTCAAACTGAACATCCTTATGTGAAATAAAATGTTATTCAGTCCAGTTATAGTATAGTCCTTGGTTTGTTCTGCTTTTGATTCCTGATTCAGAATACACAGTTACTATGAGCACTGATAGGAGGGCCAGTTCTAGTTAAAATAGGGTCATTCCAGATGTGTATTGCCATCCATGCATAAGCAGAAAAAAATGATGAATTTTTAAATAAATCCCTAAGTTGTACTAACTTGGATTTAGATTGTGACTGTCATTAATGATTTTACACAATTCTCAGTAATTTCAAATGGTTCTATTAATTACAGACTTTCATAATCTAAAAAACAGAAGTTCAACATATTTTACCAGTCAGTTCTATAGCCACACTTAAATTCATGGATAAGTTCTTGCAAAATATGGTTTCAGTTAGTTATATCGTTCATGCTGGGCAACAGTTTCGTGCAAAGAAAATAGACTGCTTCTGCTCAGATCAGATGGATGCTTATTTCACCCACAGGGCAGACCTCTAACTTTGAGAGACCTTTTAGTGAGTGGTTCTTAATTCATAAAGCTAAGTGCTTTCTTGACTTTATTTCCCGTGGTCATTATTTATTACTGGCACACTTCCAGTTTTGTACCTCTCCCATACCTTGCATGGAGAAGAGAGACCATATTAACTTGGTAAATTTTTTCCTATAGTTTTCTCAGTCCCTGATTTTTCATGTAAAATCTCTCCTCTCTTTGTTTCCAGACACCGGACATGTACTGGTTGTATGATGTCAATGGGTTACCTCAAGTTACCATGCCACCAATGAATGTAAAAGCCAAAATTGACTCAACTAATAAGAGGTTTCATAGCAAGCCAGTTTGTCAGCGCAATTTTATTCGTGAAAATGCTAAACTCCTGAGGACAGGGGTGTCCTCTCCCATCAAGGGTGCGCCTTTGATGTTGAAGAATAAATAAATACATTTTTTGCAAAATATTTCTTAGCCTTAAGTAGATTTGAACATATTTTCATGATTGTTCTTTCATCTTTTGGAATATTTCTGATGAATAATGTTTTAATGATAATAGGCCCTCTCTTTTATTTTTAAAAGTCTGACTAAATCTATTCTCTGAATATGTTGCACCTGATTTCTGCTATGTGTGTCTTTTAAAATGGACTGATTGCAATTATTGGGATTGGTTCACTTTTAACGTACAGGGATACATTTGTAGTAAAAAAAAAATTTCAGCTTAAAAATCCATGCATGTAAGTATATGTAGTCCATCCACTTCTATATTGAATCTTTAAATAATATAGATATACTTCAAAATGATCCTGGGGAAAATTCATTTTCTCAAAGGAGAGTATTTTCCTCGGTACTTATCATTCAGGAAAAATATAATAATAAACAGCAAATATGGACCATCTTTAAGAGAATTTGACATGAAGCGACTGACTTTGCTACAAATTATTCACTCATATCATTTTAAAGAATTCACTTATCCTTTTTGGGTTCTGTTTTCTTATGTGCAAAACAAAAGAACTATACTGGGACAAGAATTTGCAAACTATAGATCTAGTCTACTACCTATTCTTATATACTTACTAAAAGATAAAGATTTTTACATAATTGAAAAATTAATAGAAGAATATTGAGTAACAAGAAAATTGCATAATATTCAAATTTCAAGGGCGCCTGGGTGGCTCAGTCAGTTAAGTGTCCCACTCTTGATTTCGGCTCAGGTCATGATCTCAGGGGCATGGGATCAAGTCCTGGGTCAGGTTCTATGCTCAGAAGGGAGTCTGCTTGGGTTCTCTCTCCCTCTCTCTCTACCCCCTCCCTGCCATGTGCCGGCACTCTCTCTCTCTCTCTCTCTCTCTCAAATAATAAATAAATCTTTTTTTTTAATTCAAATGTCATTGTCTATAAATAAAGTTTTATGAAAGCATAGCCACAGTCATGTGTTTGTGTATTACCTGTGGTTGCTTTTGTGCTGTAACCACAAGGTCCAATGGTCAGAAACCATATAACTACAAAGTTTTAAATATTTACTCTCTGGTACTTTACAGAAAAAAAAATGACAACCTTATGCTAGAGCAGGAATGGCCTTTAGGAACCACTATAGATTGATTATAATTTCTTCTCATGGTGTTAAGTGGAATTCTAGGGACACCTCTATGCAATTAATTGGTCTTTTCTGTAGGTACTGCAGTAGAGGAGAAGCCCATGTACCCCAGATTTGTCATCCTCAAAAAGGATAAAAGCCAAAATTCTGTAAATTTCCAAAAGCCTTTCTTATTCTCTGGCTCTCTAAAGATAATTCTTTGAGTAGAGTCATAGATTATTTGTCCTTTCTTTTTCTGTATCGTGTTTGTGAGAAGGAGTTTGGTCAGTCTCTGAGTATATTTCTCACAAAGCCTTTATAAAACTTCTCCAAATCCTTAGGAAAGGAAAATCATATTTGCTATGAACATACAATGTTTATAGTGGTGTTTTTGTATTTTGGTGTATATGGTAATACATAATAGTTAAATAATCTTAAACCTCTTATATTGAGCCTTCTAAGAGTCATAATTGCTCTCCTATCTGAAATTCTCCAATAATTTGAAACTATTGCACTATATACTTTCCACTATTTCTTAGTACAACACTTGTGAATATCAGTGGCTTGAAGACCAAAAGGCATCAAATTAATTCAGAGACTACAGCAGTTACATGGGGAGTAGGGCACGTAACCAGAAAAAAGTCTAACAATATCCACAAACTTCTTCCTTATCTCTAGAGGACAAAGAACATGCTATAGTGTGCTAATGTTTATATCTCTCTATTGAAAAAGGAGTCTGAAAAAGCAGTCAGAGGTTTTACTTGAAGTTTCTTATTTGAGGACCACAAATTGCTCATTAGCAAGTGAATTTCCTATAGAATGAAAGATAAGATTTTTCTGGGAATCTAAAAGTTTCATGTGCTAACACTATACATTTTTAAATATACATATGCTGATTTGGAATTTGATTGTAGATTATCTGTAGCTTGTTTAAATATCTATTAATTCACTCATATGTTTATGCCCTTACTTAATAAACCGGTTTTAAGTACTGCTCCAAGCTACTCAACCTTGATATAAAAACAAATGAGCCCTGATCAGACCTTTCCTGCAAGTGCCCCCGACTGATGGAGAAACCGGGTGTGAGCAGGGAGTTTCCATACCATATGGAAGGCATTGTGATTGAGACCTTGGTGTAAAAACACAGGGGTGAGGACCTGGCTAGGGAGTAAGAAAAGGCCTCAAGGAAGACATGATATTAATGTAGTTGGAGTCTTCCAGGTGAAGTATGACCTCTCAGACTGGGAGGAGGAACGTGCCAAAGCATACAAATGTGACAGATCATAACATGTCCAGAGACAAGCAGTGGTTAGAGCTCAGAATAAATGATTAGGGGAGTGATAGAAAATATGGGAACAAATGTAGGTGGGAACAGAAGAGCTTAAACTAGCATTCTTAGCTCAGGGACTACATGAAATGATGGGATAAGAAAATGCTTTCAAATTTGGATGCACCACTTTAGGTAAATATAGGCTATGTATATTGAAATGGCCAGTTAGTAAATAGATATAGTCATACGGAACTTAGAATATGGGTTTGATTCTGATACAAGTTTTATGATTTATTGGTGAGTTGGTACGCGTCAAAAGCAAAGCTATACATGATAATGCTTATAGAAAGCTTACAAAAGCAGTGGTTCTCAAACTAGTATGCGTTAGAACTATCTGAGTTGACTGCTAAAAATGCAAAGTGTGAACAGAAACATTTGAAAGGGGGTGCCTGGGTTGGATCAGTCACTTCAGCCTCTGCTTTAGGCTCAGGTCAAGATCCCAGGGTCCTGGCGTGGAGCCCCACACCCAGCAGGGCGATTCTCCTTCTCCCTCTCCCACTGCCTCTCCCCCAACCCTGCTCATGTTTGTTTTCTCTCTCTCTCTCTCTCTCTCTCTCTCTCTCTTTCTCTTTCTCAAATAAATAAATTTTTAAAAAACTTTAGGGGATCCCTCAGTGGCTCAGCGGTTTGGTGCCTGCCTTCGGCCCAGGGTGTGATCCTGGAGACCCGGGATCGAGTCCCACATCAGGTTCCCTGCATGGAGCCTGCTTCTCTCTCTCTCTCTCTCTCTCTCTCTCGTCTCTCATGAATAAATAAATAAAATCTTAAAAAAAATTTTTTTAAAGAAACATTTGAAAGAACATAGGAAGGTCAAGGGGCCCTAAAATGTTGCTGGGAGGCCCCTGGGAAAGTTCGTCTTCTGCATGTCCACATTTTTTTTTAAGATTTTATTTATTTATTCATGAGAGACACAGAGAGTGGTAGAGGCACAGGCAGAGGAAGAAGCAGGCTCCGTGCAAGGAGCCCGACGCAGAACTCGATCCCAGGTCTCGAGGATCACGCCCTGGGCTGAAGGCAGGTGCTAAACTGCTGAGCCACCCAGGGATCCCTGCATGTCCACATTGGAGTGACACATGAGGTTTTAGACTCTGCCAACCACAAACTGCCACAGCCTGTTGTAATTCTCAGAATGAGGCTTTTTTTCACTACAACCAAGCAACTTAGCAAAGTAACCTATCGTATATATACCAATGCTAACTATTTTTGCCTACGCCAGTCATAATTCTTTCAAAACAATTTATACAAATGTGTGATTTTTGCCTCTATAAACTTTGTCTCTCTCCTCCTCAGAGCACATTTCAGGTTTCTCCTAAATCTGTGCTCCTGTATTTGAATTCTAAAGACCCCAAATAAAATTTGGTTCGCTTTGTGGCCTTAGTTCTTTCTTCTTTGGCAAGAGTTATAAGGGCCACTCTTCTTCATTCTGATTCAGTATATTTGGAGCTAGATGCAAGACTCTACATTTTAATATGTGTTTAGGTGCCTCTAAGGTTTGCACGTTAAGATGCAACATTGAAGAAGAAAAGAGGGAGGGGCATGGATAAAACTCTGAAAAACATTTAAAGAGTAGCGAGCAGAGAAAACAGGCAGTCGTGTCAACTGAGAAGACACTGGCTAAAAAGAGAAGAAACACCTAGATCCCGCTCCTGACTTTGGAGTACACTAGTCAGGGGTCTTGTGCCCACTGAGCCAACTAACTACATAGCATAGTTCCTAGAGAACAGGCAGGACAATGTGGGGTATTCACCACTGGGAAGGAAAGTGTTAAAGGGAGGTCATAAGAAGCCTGGGGAAGTTTTGAGTCCTTTCCAACCTCCCTATAAACAGATTGTTGAAACATACTTGCAGGAAGAAAAAAGTGTTATTCATTTAGGGTCTTTTTTTCTTTTTTTTTTTTTTATTGGAGTTCAATTTGCCAACATATAGCATATCACCCAATGCTCATCCCATCAAGTGCCCCCCTCAGTGCCCGTCACCCAGTCACCTCCACCACCCCGCCCCGCCCACTTCCCCTTCCACTACCCCTTGTTCGTTTCCCAGAGTTAGGAGTCTCTCATGTTCTGTCATAGGGTCTTTTTTCTAACCAAAATCAATATTGTAAGGTTTTGTTTGAGCAATTGTTGACTCAGACAAGAGGCAGAGCTAGAGTGAAAGCATTTATTTGGTGTCTTAGAATTGCAATTCACAGGGCGCAGATTTGGGCAGCAACTCTAGTCGTGTCCCCTCAGGGAACAAAAGTGAAAGGTTTTTAAAGACCAAAGGGAATGCTTGTATATGTTGTTTACAAAGAATTTTGATGGGTGTTGGTGACAGGAAACTAATCTTGGACTGCATATAATTGGCAGCTAAGGCTATCATGAAGCAAATGTGCATTACTGTAGCAAAGTTGGAGGAGTACGGCCTGAGTCCGTGGAGTATTTCCTATTCGGCCCAGTTCAAAAGTTGATGGTTCTACCCAGTGAGGACATGCATTAGACCCGCCACCTTAATGGCCTGGCTCCATTTTAGAACCGCTGGACATAAGTGACCCCATTTCATTTCA